TCTCTCATTTTGCATCTTGGAGTGATACTGAAAGCGATTTGACCTTCGCAAAAATCTCGATGATAATTAGTTCGACTTGTGACTGCCCAAATCAAGAAAACTAAAGTCTGATCTATGAAAAAATGCAGATGCTATAATCGTTGAATAGCAATGAATAATAATGCCATAAAATTTGTTTGAAACTCTGCACTAGTTTGCACAAAAAGTCTACACCACTATCATTGCCGAAACTTTCGTAATGAAGGGAAATTTCCCAGCGAAACAAGAATCTTCGATGATGCCATTAAATGTTTTTCTGTGGTTCTAATCGTAAATCATCACGCAGCGGCATTACACTGACCTTGCGCTGAAAAGCATTCACCACTTTATGAATCTAATAATATATGAAAACTTGATTGTTGTTTTACATGAGGTTCAAAGTGCTGGGAAAATTGCTTATCATAGATTATTTTGGGCAATGTTTCCTACTCTGGAATATGCGCTGCCATCATCTTTGAGATCATCTTTAATTTGCGGTTTTCATTTTACGACTGAGATATCAAAAACTAGAGCCAACAAGAAAATTGATTATTCCATGAACTAAGATCACGTTTACGAAGAAATCTTCACATGTGGAGTTCTGTCTAATTCAGACATACTTTAACATGAGCGAGTGTTTGCTTTTAAGTTACCTTCGTTTAAAAAATTCTCAAGGAGCCATTTGCAAAAGGTTTGATTTTATTAACTTTTTTTGTTGACGTTGTTTTGGTCCTGTTGATCAGTTTTGTATTAATATGTTTATCCTTAACATTGTGTTTTTCGTGGAGTCTCCCTATATGTGATAAAATAAAGAATAAGAATGAAATATCAATATCTCGAAAGCTTTTCACTTACTTGAGCGTTTGTAAAAATACTGAGGCATAGAAACATGGAACTGCTTGTGACGTATTTGAACACCTGCTAAATTTTACGTCAATATTTCGAAATTGTGCTTCCCATTTGATTCAACTGAAGAGTCGAATTCTTGCCACAGATCTGCTCTGCCTGATAAAGCTCTATTTTTCTCCGCTTTTGTTTGAGAATGCTTTTGATGCTAGTAAATTCTTCTGTTAAGTTTACTTTACTCTGCAGTTCCCGCCAAAATAAGTCGCTTCAACCAGCTGTATAATTTATGTTGAGCATTACAATTTAATTTTCTCTATTAATTATATTATTTTCCATATCCCATGAACCAATAGACGTCAGCCGATCGCTAAATTCATGTAGCTTTCGTCAAGGTCATAACCTTTCGCAATCGCCGATCTGTCGTCGATCCTCGCATTATTAATGACTACCGTTTGACGCAGCTCTATGTCTTCGTTAATAATTCAGGGTTTGTTTGATTTCGCTAAAGGCATATCCGATTAGGAAGGCTGGAGAAAATTCTCGTTTACGTGAATAATTTTTAGCGAGCTATTTTTCCATGCGATGTTCTTTGGACTAATTCCTGTCTCTGCAAAATGTAAGGCTTTATTACCCCTTCGCACAACTAACGATTTTTTTCCTATCACATGCAAAGCCTTGCGAGTAGCAATTGTTATAATTGTCGTTATTGTTGGATTCTACAGCCCCTTTTTCGAATTATTCAAACTGCAAGAGAACTAGACGGATCGAATAGATCCTATGTAAGTATCATCACTGTACATATAATAATCACTTATGCTTAGTCGTATTACGTAGATAATTTCTTTTTCTAATAATCCCTCCAACATTTCCTCGATCGTTACCTAGTAGCACCTGTAAGGTAAGCGGATATATTGGATTCTTCTGTTCCGGCAAGCTCAAAAGTAGTAATTATAGCATCAATCCACTATTTTATAAAGCTTTGCAGCTCTTTTCACTTCGCAGTAGCTGCTTATCCTGTCTTGTTCGAGCAGTCGCTAGATTTACTCGAACTTGATGAGCCAAAGTCACCCAAAAATGCATAAATAGGATGTTTCAGAATAAATTGTAAACCGAACATCGAGCTGCCCGCCTGATCATGGATATGTTTGACTATTATTTCTAAAGTGAAGCTGCTGTATCTCTGTTGCCGCTTCAAGCGTTTCCCCACTCTTCATCTCAACTCACAAGGTTCTTGCTGTCATTGATATACTGGACTCAAAAGATCTACCATAGAGGTCTTCTATGGGAACTAGAGATGCAAAACTTGTTTTCTCTTGCGTCTAAGAATAGAAACGTCGCCTCTTGACACTTCAATGAGTTTTCTACTACCGGCATCGCCGCTGTACTCATACGATGTTTTCGTCCTGCCTCACTTTCGTAAGTTTCTAAATGTGTCCAAAATAAACCTGTGACAGTGTGAAGTGCGTTTCACTTTGCTCTGGTTCACATCGTCGCCGCATGTAAATTTTTTAGATTGTGCAATTTTCAATAAAAGACTTGCCTAAGGAATCTTTTCCTACTCTTGATGCACCTCTCACAAATTTAGCCAAAATTTTTCCCATTGCTTTTACTTCCCGAAAACTGTCGCCTTTGCCCTAATGCCGCGCGAAGCTTCCCCGTCCGATCACACATCGCTATTGTCAGCAATTACTGTGTTTGAATGACGGAATGCGTTGTCGTCGCGAGAATGTCGTGTCAGACTCGCGCGTCGCGCCATATGCTGCTTTGGACTGTCCTCTTACGTTGACCGCTTCGTTGATTTTATGATTCTTTGTCGGATTAGCGCTCTCGGTTGTTATCAAGGACTGGGGCAAGGTGAATGTCGAGAGTGAGCGAGCACCAGCTGCACACCATCGCGCGCACAGTGTTTGCACAGATTAGCCGCACTCGTCGGAGCCACACACTCGAGCGCCACATTACCACCCAAAACTGCTTCGATTTTAGCTTAAAATTCAGTCAAAAATCGTTTTTACAAGTATTTCAAACAGTTCTGTACTCTTCTCTATGCTGCGCTCAAAGTTGTTCATTTGACAGTACGGTGTCAGCGTTGTGCCAAGCGTAGTGCCATCCTGGTGCCAGAGCGGTGCCAGTATGGTGCCGGAAAGGTGCCAACGCGGTGCCACATGAAAATTATGGGCACAGCTTACATTTTCCGTTTTTTTTTCTGGAATATGTCACTGAACGACGTATTGTGGTTCTTAATTATGCTGGGCCATGATTACTGCTGTCATCATAAGGCCAGCGCGTTGCCAGAACATGTGACACTATGGACTCATTTAACATTTTCGTTTGTTCTCGAATGTTTTTCTGGACCATGTACTGCTACTTTTTGTTACACTGAGCCAAATGCCTACTCATCAGCACGGTGCCAGCACGGTGCCAGCATGGTGCCAGCTCCGTGCCATGAAAAACTATGAACCCCCTTTACATTTTTCGTTCTTTTTTGATTATCTGTCACTGGACCGTGTTCTGCTGCCCAATTGACAACTATATGACCTTTGTGACCACATTCAGCGATCTAATCCGTAGGAATAGCGTAGAACTGGCGGAGGATTACGCTCAATCGACCCGACAGTGACAGGACGCGGTAGTCTTTGAGATTAGCACGAAATCTGATAGCCATCTTTGTCATCGCTCTCTCTTGCGCGCGCAACATAGCCGAGACGCTACACATATCCGTTCGGGCTGAGCAAATCCGGATGAAATCCGCTTTTTCGCTGTAACTGTTCGTTTTTATCATATATCCTACCTATCTGTGCCCAACAATTACAGCGATGCTGTTGAAATTGTTCCGCAATTCAACATAGGGCGTAATCGATCCCTTTTTGCGATTCTATGCAAAAAGAGCCCCTATTTGGCATTGCAAACGTGCAACCTGTCTATCAAATGTGCTCAGTGCAATCGCGCTTATGGTTATTTTCAAGTTCAATTGCTTTGAAATAGGGCTCTCATCCTTTATTGCTCGGTTCCGCAAGTTTCCTGTTCTCAAAATTCCAGTCTCATTTTTCTGATGTTTGCGTTAGACTGGTGTCTGGGTTTTCCTGTATACACTTTCTTTCCTTTTTGCCTTGGAAGCTCCTCCTTACTTTACTGCGGTACAGACAGTGACGTCAAAGACTTGTACAAATATTAACTCCTTTTTTGTATATGCAAGTCAAAGCTAGGAACAAAATTTTTTCATCTTTAATTTCTTCTTGTCCCTTGAGTATCTAACAGTTTGGACAACGAACCTATCTTGATAAGACACAACTTCGGAGGTGATTTTTGGGATCCAAAGTATCAACCCCATACTTATTCCTGTGCCAGTACGGTGCCAGCATGGTGCCAGCACGTGAAAAAACTATATGCAGGGCTCACTGCTTCTTTATTCTTTTTTGATTGTCTGTCACTGGACACGTCCTTAGGTCCAGGGATTACGAATAGCTACAAATAAGTTTTTCTCATCAATGTCGTCACGTCTCTTTGTGCTTTTTGTGTCGGGTTAACATCCATCTCAATCTGTTAATCCTAGTACAAACAGGCTTTTATCTTCCACCTATACCAGATTATTGAATGTTCTCATTAGTTTGCCCCAAAAAGCCCAGTAACTCGGGTTTAAAATGCATATGACCGATTATATCGCTCCGCTTTACCGAATATCCCAACTCTCCCCCCCCCCCCCCCCTCCCCTCGTTATACAACTCATATCGTAAGCCATCACCAGCCGTAGATGCCATCTGATTGACCTTTCAAATCCGTAACCACCTGACAGATAGTGATGTCGATTAGGTGAACGCTCATTATGGGTATTTGCGTGACCCGGTGGTTAGGGCTTCTTCGCGCAAATCCATCCAGGTAAAATAGCATACGGGGAAGCGGAGGAGCCCAACGAAGCAATCATTTTTCTAGATTAGACACACACAAACAGCTGTCGGATTCGAGGTTGTGAGCCCGGGCGGATTCGGCTTTGAATAATGATCGTGTCGGGATAGATTTGTTCACTAGTCACTTTTTTCATTTCTCATCAACTCGAGCTGGTTCTTCTACTTTCGTGAATTAAATCTAATTTTAAAAGGTTTTATGGTTTTACGAAGAAGGATATAGTTATTATTTTTCAGCGCGGACGACCTCCAAACTACGCTGTTGACCATCGTGAGCTGGGCGAGAGACTAAATCGACTAGTCAGCAAGAGCTCTATAGGATCTAGTTTACCATCACTGAGGTTGGTTTTGTAGCTGCTGAGTTCATCCCTTTATCTTGATGCACAAATTTTACAACAAAAAATGTTGAAACATTGGTGAGGACTTCCATTTTCAACGAATTCGAGTTCGTTGTCTATCAGAGTGGGAAAATCATGCACTTTCTAGTAATGCTTCAATCAAAAATTACTATTTTATAACGGCGATTTCCAATCTTTCTGCCAATCTGCGGTTACAAAAATTGCTGAAAAATCCAACCTTTGTATACCGAATTTAGTTTTAGCCTTTTTTTTTCTTTTTTAAGACTCATTCTCTTTTGAGAAAACTTTGTGCTGTTCAATCTTTGAAAATGGTTACAATCTTCGCATTTACTAATCTGTGTTTTTTCTCCTCCCAGATCAGAATTCTAATATGTATCATACTACGTTTGGTATGCATTATAGAAAGTATTTTTGTAAACCAATCAATGGTTTTTGAACATTTCTAAAGATTCTCTTAATTTTTTGCAAATTTTGAAAAGCTATGAAGTCTATGTTTTAGCTCCCTGCACTCCTCCTCCTCACTAAATAACATGCCATCGGCAAAGGTGGCCGACGGTTCTGTCGCAACTCGACCAGCTCTCAAGAATGGATTGAGACGTAAGCATTTGGTTGTTTGTCGACGGGCTTTGTTGTTCTAGAGAAAAAACTCTCGAGATCGGCTGAGTTTTTTCTTTACAGAAAAAAGCGGTGAGGACCGACAGCGTGACATCGAGCTCTATAAAGTTCTTCGACAAAGAAAAGCCGAATTGGAGGAGCTGCTCAGAGCAAGGTTGAACGAACTGCGGGCAATATGCTTACGAGAGGGGGTACGTGTTTAGTTTTCTAGTGACCTTGAAAATTTGGGTTTAACACGGAAATCATATCCCATTTTGGAAGTGTTCAATCCTTCTAGGATTAATCAGTGCCCCTACAGAAATCCATGACTGTCATGTGCTTCCGAAAATTTTTTAAACTCTTTACTAAGACAGTGGCAATCATTCCTTGATTTGACTATACTAGCCGCAAATAAACACCTGTGCGGTGTATGGCTCTTGATAGCTGTTCCCGTGACTCAACATTGATTTAGTGATGCTTGCACGAAAATCTCCAAAGTCCAAAATCCGGACTATGCTTTATCAAGCTCTTCTACGATAATTCAGAGCGCATACAAGTGCTAGTGGTTGCTTCCAGACAGATGACCCTAAACTTTTTCACGAAAAGATTTCTCTCAGTTTATATGTAGAGATCTAAGCGTATAAGGATAAAACTGAGCAAAAATCCAATTTGTTGCTTCTCCTTCGGCTTTCTATTGGGCTACTCCATAAGCTTGCAATAAAAGAATAGCTCGGTCCAAAGTCTCGAACAAAAATGTAAAAAATCGGTTTGAATTTTTTAAGATGTCTCCGAATTATGAATAGTAAATCATAAGACCCATTTGAAGTATAAACAAATTTATTGGCTTTTTCCATGTTTTTCTATTTCTTACAAGGGAAGAATACTTGGTCGAAGTTTCCATATGAAACGTATACATTCTTATAGGGCATGTAACGTTTGTTCCAAATCTGCTTCTGATATCTGCAAAGCGCTTTTGGGTGGGGAGTCATGGAATTTTTGTTGAAGCAAGGATTTGAATGCACGGCTACATAAAATCGTTCAGAAATGCAGACTGGAGCTCAAATAGGGCCGTGCATATTGTTAGTACCAAGACCTTTGTGCATTTAATAGTAAACTCATGCTTGCCCTTACTCCTTTCACGCTTAGGAAAGACCTCAAAACCTGGTTTTACCTCAGCCAAACTCTTGAGTTTTTACTTCCAAAAGTTCACATAACTCTTCTCTCACAAGCGCTTTGCAGATAGCGAAGGCAGATTTGTAAGCTCCATGCTCTATATAATGATATTCATTTCATATGGAAACGCCACTTCGACGTACTTTATCATCTGTTATGATTTCTTTGAAGTTAAAAAAGACACGATTTTCAAAAATTTTGCAAGCTTATCGAACCCAATAGAATTTTTTAAAGAGCTCGTAAATCAGCTTCACGCAGGGTAGAAATTTGCAGTGAGACAGTAAATCGAAATCTGAGTTTCACTTACGAATGGTGTACTCTACAATAATATTGTTCACTACTAAAAAACAGCAATAAAGTGATTCTCTTTTCATCTAAAAAGAAAATGTAAAAGATGAACAATTGGCCTATTGCCAGACATGTCCTTAGCCAAGGAATGACTTAGAGCTGCAAGGGTAATAAGTAACTACCTCATGTTCTTGAGCCATGATGTGAATTTAATCTCAGGTAGCAATGCAACCATAACCTTCCAAAGTCGTTGTCTATTGCAGGATGGTATTGAAAGGTGATAGCGCTTATACCAAATAGATATAATGAAGAAGCTTTTCTTCAAATGAAACGCAACTTCCTCGAATCAGAGTGGAATTACTTTCATGAGAAATATGGAAAAAGTAATTTGCATGACATTTCACATTCTGTTTAACCGTAATAGGTGATTACGGTTCATTGATTCATTTGTATCTTGATTCATTTGTACTCTTTCAATATTTTTTATGCCTTTGACAGCCTCCTTATTGAATGTGTCGGTTACGTATAAGAGTTAAAATTTGTTTAAACGGGAAAAGAAATACGCGTTGTATCTGAAGCAAAAACCCTACCCGAAATTTTGAAACCTTCAAATTTCACATTCTTTCACACTCTCGATTTTTCGTCGAAATCTTTGTTTGATCTGCCAACGATTGTCTTCGATGTACTAGTCTGGCTTGTACGCCCTCGCTTCAGAGGCTTGAGCCATGTTCTTCTCAGACGTTGTCAGTGTTTACGCAAGCTTTAGACCCGTGACTAGTACAGTTTTTTTGAGAGCTAGGGTTCAAGAGGGCAGAATAAAAAAGACATGTTTTTGCGTAATTTTTCTCTTCGGATCTTCTGAGACTCAGACTGCTCATCATGAGCTTCTTCATTGACACTTTTAAAAAGGTTGGAAAATTTGTACATGACAACGGCAATGGTGTTATCTTAACTAGTAAGTTCAAAGTTTTGTTGAGTGCGGTTTTTCGATGTTTCTTTGAAATCGGGCAAAATCTGTGGTCTCTTTATGGTATGCTGTCAGATTGCTTTCTCATCAGGTATTCATGTACCACCCATTTACCAAAGATTTATCCTTATAGATAGAGAGTAGATGTTAATATGTTTTGTAGTCACTTATTACCCTTGCAGCTCTAAGCATGCCATTCTCTGGCTAAGGACATGTTTGATAATGAGCGCTAATTTTTCATACATTCCCTTTTAGATTATAAAAGATTCTCTTTATTGCTGTTTTTTTAGTGGTGAACAATATTGTTACAGAGTACTCCTTTCGTAAGTGGAACTCAGTTTACGATTTTCTTTCTCGCTGCAAATTTTACCTCGCATAAAGCTGATCTAGCTCTTCAGAAGATTGTCACCATTCAGTGCAGCCTAGAAGACCTGATAAATTCTGAAATTCTCTAGGGCGTTGGCAAGAAATACGCGAGAAAATTGTCTCGCTTTCGGTAACAAATAAATGCGAGTAATTTCTGTTAGATGGCCTGAAGCTACGTTAAAGTTTTGGCTCTATTTTCTTGAGTCAAACGTCGAATAGGTTATAGTCGTAGTAGGAAAGTATCATAATCTTTGCGACTTGACTTACAGCGAATCAGTCTTGCCGAAATGGTTCAAGCCTTTGTCATGTTATCCAGTCAGTTGTTCTCAGCATGTGCTAATGTACCGCGCTGGGCCTAGGTAACCTATGACCCTCCTGAAGAATGGTTATCTAGTTCTATGCATTGAAGAGAGCTGGCATGGGAAATTATTTTGCCTTTTACAGGAAATCACCGGAGAAATGCCAGAGGAAATTCAAAATACACTTAAACCTGGCGAGGACATGCCAAAGTTGAAGAAACGAGTGGGCACGTCATTCTCAATACCAGAGGAAATCTTGAAATGTGACAAGGTAAGCGAATTTGTTATTCTTTATTGTACTGATCATGAGTACAGCAGCGGCTTGGTCACTGACGGGGTCGACTTCTCTTCTTCGGAGTACTCTCCAAAAAGTCGGCTGAAAACGAGGTGCATGTAGACGGCCATCATAACCGCAGTGATGTGTCCACCCATCATGTCAATTCCACCTGAAAGAAAAAGTTGTTGCCTGCACCAGGAATCACTTTCTTTTTCCAAACCTTGTCTGATGGAATAAACCATCAGCTGAAGATTGATCGTAGCGCATACTGCTGATATAATCAATCCTATCAAGGCTGCGAATGAGATGTCGTGGAAAACTGCCATAAGTACCACTCCGGCTGTGAAGGCCGAACCAACCGACACAGCCAGGAATTGGATGCGGTTATGACCGAAGCGAGGGCCGACAAGCTAAAATGAAGGATTGTAACTTGCTAGAGCTGCATCCAGATTTGTCAGTGCCAGTGCTGCCGTTCTAGCTAGCCCCAGCGCTGTTCCAGCTCAGTGCCAGTGCCGTTTCAGCTCAGTGCCAGCGCAGTTCCAAAGTCGTGCCGATCAATAGGCGCATATAAGTGGATCCAGCACGGTGCCAGCACGGTGACACGACGCCACCCAAAGAGGAGTATTAAATAGCAATCTACCTGCACAGTCAGTCCAACGAGTCCCGGAAGAAAATATGACGGTGCCGCAGTATCTATGATCACATAATGCTGATTAATAACGCTGCTATAGACTCCGAGCTGCGCTGCGACAATAATTAGGATTATTCTTTGTTCGTGTATAGTTAATTCTTTCTGGAAATTTGTCAGTTACTGGCGTTAGATCGAGCTGACCTTCTCACCTGCATACGCTTACTGAAGAAAATCATAAACGGCGGTATGACCATATAAGTAAGGAGGAAAATGAGATATTTGCCAAATATTCCTAGAAGCACGTAGCTGACTGCGTCCAAGTTCCCGAATCGAATACCAAGCGTGAAGCTGGTCAGGAATACTGCGCGCCACACGTAAGACCTGCAGTGAAGAAGATTATCTTCATCTTTGGGCAGTTCTCTGCCCCGGACTTACTCGAACATGTGCCCATAGTCGAAAAATCGCGGCAGGGGTGTGGTGTCGACCAATTTTCTGTACACCTCTGTTAATCTTTCATCTATCATGGGCGGAATGTTGACACCAATGATTTGTCCGAACGTTCGTTTGTCAGCCCCGGCTTGGGTTCGTGAGGTATCTTCCGACAAGTTTTCTTTGTCACTGGGCTCGGATCTTCGTTGTATCTTGTTGCGCTCGGATTCCTTTGATGGACGTAGCATGGTGCGGAGTGAACCAGCACTTCCCGATGCCAATGAAGTAAAAATGAGAAGTTTGGAATAGATTTCATGCTTAAGTAGGCAGCGGTCAACCACATATCATTGCATATCACTATCGTGAAAGTATAGGTTGAACGATAAGGAATGAGGAACGACATCTTTGAAACCGTATGCGCGCATCGAAGGGGTCATTAAATACGTCTGACTTTGCTGTGAATTGTGTTGCAGCTCCTTACTAGAAGCGCAGGTAGATGATATCATGTCGCCAAAAAGAAGTTCTGCACGAACAGTCGGAACAAGTCACACACCTCTACACATTATCAGCTCGTAGCAGCTGATAATCCGTGCAGATCAAGCCCGTTCGCGACATCTTCTCCTCTACCCAACTAGTGTTGATTCTCTCAGATTGTTCTAATACCAATCGTCTTCCCCAAAAAATAGCGTTCAGTTACCTTGGAGCAGGGATCGAACCTGATCCTATCGTAGTTATACTGCGCCACCAACCATTATGCTACTGAATCGTGGTCCAAAGTTTCAGTTATCATTCACTTTTGCGGTTTGTCTCAAACTCAGTGAATGAAGAAGCCGGTTAGGCGTCATTCACCGAAGAAGTATTATCTAGCTTCGGTAGGCTTGAAATTTATGTTCCTTACTCACTATTTCTAGGGAGACAAACTGAGTCAGCTTGAGACTGATGTGGAACTTCATAAAAGGATTGTAGCTGCTGCTGAACGACTTGCAAAGGACAAGTCCATGAACAAGAGCGTGCGAAAGAAGAGGCAAAAGGTATTTTACTGATTAGTTAAGATCTCTTGGTTGTAAAATCTATTCTCTGTATCCTAGAATTTCATTAAATACTATTTAGGACTTGGCCGCAGCAGCAATGAAATTGCGTGGGTTGGAGTTAGGCCTGAATCAGATGCGGCTGAGTGCCAGTAAACCCGATGTAAGCACAGTCGAGAACGGAAGTGGGGGTAAGTTTCAGTACCACAAGTCGCTGCTCCATTCATGCTTCTTCACTAATTGTTTCATATATTGTAGGGTCTTGGACAGCTTTAACACAAGCGAATGGCACCACTACCTTGACCAGAGCGGTGGCCAAGTCATGTCCCACAACTCCACGAGGATCTGTGCCGGACTTGTGCACTCCCAACGGAGAAAAGAGCGACTACGAAGACGATGATCACGTCCAACGACGAGTACCGAGGTAAACCAACTCCACAAGTACCTTATGTTGCATGTTCCCTGGACTGCATCTCCCAGGCTGAAAGCAGCCAATAACTATCCTTGCTCAGCTCGGTACTTAAGCTCAACGTCTCGTCGTTCGCTTCATCAGCGCTTCTCGGAAGCGTCGACGTCGAGTAACGGCTCGTTCGGACTGCCTCCACGTGCGAATTCCCGACGTAGTGTTACCACCCGCTCCGTAACCAGTGACGAACTCGATAACCCACTAATCAACAACTCCGCTCAACCGCTTGCTGAACATGCTCCCATGTAAGCTTTAGTTCGTCCTTACCAGTTCTTGTAACCTTCCTCTACTAGTTATTTGCACTACGTGGCCATGCAAGAAAATCGAAACCTTACAGAGTTGAGTAGATCATAACTTGTCAAAATAGTAATGAAAGTCTCCCAGACCCTTCTAACTCCGACAACCTCAATTTTTGTAGGATATGGTCAAATAATCTATTTTCGGATGCGGAAACTCATTAACAAGTGCATCCAAAATTATATAGCTCTCACTTAATGTACACAAATTTTGAAAAGCACCAGTTTATGATTAAAGACAAAATTGCATATGCTACATCACTCCATTTCGCTCCTTCCCTTAGAAGGAGTATGACTTGATTTCTTAGCCCTCTCCGGAGCTCCTCAGTGAGGAAGGAAGACTTAGCATTGAGTAAAAAGTTGAAAATTAAATTTTTGGATGAGTTTCTAACTCGATCAAATACAACAACTTGAACTACTATAGCCTTAGGCTAACTTCTAAGCATCCCACAGATAGAGTAATTCATAAACAATACAAAAGGCATAGGCAGTCATGGTAGTCCAATTTTTTTTGCAACAAAGAAGCTTGCTTGGTTCTAACTCGCCCTCATCGTACTTCTTAGTCGTAATCTCGTCCACGAAACGTCGTCAAGCAATTCCTTCGTTAATCTGAAAGTTCAAGAGTACTCAAAACTATCTTACTGTAATAATATGAAATGATATAGCTCTGAAATACCATTAAAGCCATCAGTCTCAGTGTTTTTTTTTCAGCTATGAAAACATAGGCTATCGTTCGACATCGTATCGAAGCAGCTATCGACAAGCTCACTATCCAACTTTGCAGGTAATTGGAATTTCCATAGTCTTTCTTCGTAATTACGTGTGCTATACAGTATCTAGTAATGTACGTCATTGCTTGCGTAGATACTTCAAGATTTTTTGGGTGCTTTGCAAAATTTTCGCGGGCGTAGCCCCAAAACAACTTTCAGTACAAAACTCGTAGATACTGTTACTCCATTTAGTCAGAATATGCAATTGCGATTCAGGACGACTTACTCACATTGTTAGCAGTTCATCCATAGTTTCAAAAACTCACAAATTTGTCAGCATATTTTTATACGCAGTGAAATGAAGATTATTACTTCATTCGTTCAATTCTATCCACCGTTTTTGTGAAATGATAATTGATGGTTTAAGGATGAGCAACATCTTCGGAAACGAGCATTGTCAGCGCATTCCATATCACAAACGGATGTTCCCAACTGCGTCAGCTATACCACACGTATTGAAAATTTTCAATTCAAGCAGGTAACTGAAGTTTTCAGATTTTTATTTGTAACGTAAAAGTGAAACTAGCTCCCCAATTGGATGCTGATTTTTTTTGCACTTTGATTGCATGTTTAAATGTTGAGTCTGATTATAAATGGGGCTCAAGATCAAATTTTGAGGCGCACATTCCTGAAGATGACGACATCACTCCAACTATTGAACATCCGGAACCGCTGAGACGAATACCGACCAGTTTCTCTTGCCAGGCCGGATTTTCTACGGCTAGTCTGGACAGACGAAATATCGTACAAAGGTTAGCATATACTCACAATCAGTATCAACGAACACAGAACAAAACAAGAATTCAATTTCTAGGCCGCTGCCATCAGCGAGTGGAGGGTTGGTGCCCACATCACGTAGTCCGCAACAATTTGCTATTTCTTCCTCCCGAGGGCATTCACCCAGCGCTCATCGAATCACCACTTTCCCCGTATGTACCACTATGAGCGGTGGCTTTGATAGGTGGGATATTGTACTCATAGGAAGCCCTGCACAGTCATTAGTTTCAGTAGTCATTTTGTGTAATTGCGCTGCCTGCAAGCTTTTCTGACAACTCGAGAGTATTATATTGCAATCTCCTTTCATCTATTCTATGAATCCGTTTCTTATACTGTCTATAATTATAGCTACTTTGCAGCACTGCTACTCGAATGCAGAGTGCTAAGGTAGTGCAATTACACAATGGTGTGCTGCTCAAATACTCAATATTTAGTTACTTTGTCATGCTTTTATTTCGGATCTGTGAAGCGTGAATGTCATTGTGCTAATAGCAGTCTATTGAAGAACGGGAATAGAACATTCCCTATGGCGATACCCAAGACCTGGGTATAGATTCCTGCATGCTAACTCATTGGAAGACTTTTACTAGGCTAGAGCCTAAGGCGCTCGTACCTCATTTGTATTAGAAATATTTGGTATTCGCTCCCGCCCAAACCGTAGTTGCTTTACTTAGAGATGCTACACCGTTTGCAAGGACCATGGCTTAAGCAGAACCGTTTGGAAGTAACTTAATGAGGTGCTGCATAAGCACAGAAAGCTATGTCTGCCGCACCTTTTAGCGGTTGTGCCACATCACATTGACTTACCTTTAAAGGCAGCGTCCAGGCAGATCTGGACCTATGGGGCTTTTACGTGGAAAGTACTTTTGGGGCCTTAACTAAGGCACTGCCCAAGCGGCAGCTCATGTAGTGCTCTAATGGCTGAGATATTCCCCTCGAAACTGGCCCCCGCGAACGTATTCGCATGAATTCATGGCAGTTTCGCGCCAGGATCCAAGCTTTGCGCCATGAATCCATGCGAAACACGGTCGCGGGGTCCAGTTTCGAGGGGAATATCCCAGCTGTTAAAGCACTACCTGAGCTGCCGGTTGGGCAGTGGCTTAGTTAGGGCCCCAAAAGTACTTTCCACATAAAATCCCCATAGGTCCAGACTTGCCTGGACGCTGCCTTTAAGCAGAAACAGCTACAAATTCCTAAGCTACTAATTAATCATTTGAGCTGCGATTTGGGCAGGGCTTAGCAAAGGTCTCCCTATCAATGCCCTAAGAATTCCACTGTGCGAATCTGCCTGCAAGCACAAGAAAACTATTTGAATAAAGCCTGTTTTGGTTCGAAAGTGTAGTGGCCTGTTTTAGGAAACCCTACTCTTCCTCGGATTTGCCTCGATTCCAAACTTCGTCCACAAGCAGACCTCCCGCCCTTCCCTTCTCATCTCGTGGTCGAGCAATGCCAGGATCGAATTCGACGAGTAAACTTCCGGCTCACGCCGATCCGCACATGGAAGCGCTGCTCGACTATTACAAGGGCCAATCGAACCAATCTACGGCTCCGAAAACTGCTACAATAGTCTGAATTTTCCCAGAACGACAATCCCACTGTCGCTTGATGGACTGTCCCAGCTGGCGCCACACCCGGCAAAATAACCTCTACTGACTCATTCATAGGCAATGATATGTTTCGAAACTAGCTGGAATGTACTGGGTGTTGGATGGTCTTTATAACTGACAGAAATTGTCTCATCTTGTGATAATTGCAACCGATTCACTTCAATAAGATCGATGCTTTATATCAAATTCCGGGTCGATGCATCGTCGGTTCCTTACAAAGTCCGATTGGTCGCGTTATGTGTTGATCATGTTTGTGAATGTTTTAAGCTATTGTTACCATGTCCTACCTGAGATCTATCATAAATTATGAAAAGAAAACGATTTGTTTCCGAGTACTGCAGAGGAACTTCAGCTGAAATATCCCTCTAAATTAAGATTTTGCTTTGCTTCCAAGCAGACTTCCTCCGTCATAAAGTGTGGGGGAAGGTTTACGTCAATTCAAGCAAAATTCTCCAGTCAAAGTGAGAGCTATTAGTTCTTATCAAGGTCCAAAGAGTAGGAATCCAAATTTTCTATTTTTTCTATTCTATTAATTTTTCTCTTTTGAGTGACAGGGAGAGTTATGAACTGGCACGAAGGCAAAACCTGTGTTTGAGTAATTACCTGACTTCACTGGTGGTACTTTTATGCTGAATTTTTGATATAGCAAAGGCAAGCACATGCGTTTCTGTGCAAATGATGGTAGTAATCTCTGGGTGCTTCAGAAAAAAAACGCAGCGATTTTCCGCAGTTAGGGTGAATTTCATAAGCACTTTACTCAAGAATGCTTACTGTTTCACAGTGAATACCGTGCTCGACTGCTTCTTAATCCTACAGGGCGCGCCACAATCACGCAGTATGCTATGCTAAACTCGTACAATGCTCAGAGAGAGGCAAACAGCTACTTTGTTTCAATAATGCCTTATCCCAAAGAGACTACAAGAAGTTTGGGATTTGCAAATGTGGTTACAAGTCTAGCCGACAATTGCGCGCAATGCAAAGGTATAACTTCAAAAATTGATCTGGTTCTCCACGGAAATACTCCTATCACTTAATCTGTTGTAATATACTTTCAAGGGGAGGTTTGGTAATTACTTTCGAAATTAAAAGCACCAAAATTCAACCGACGCGTGGATGCAGCAGAAAATCTATACTTATTACTAGAAGTACAAATGCGGGAAAGAAAACAAAAAGCTCCTCGGGTAAGCTTTGTGGGAACTAGATAGGTTGAATCCGGCAACAGTCACGTTTACGTAGCTTACAATGTAATTCAGAGACAAACGGCCACCGAACAGCCAACATCATCAGGCTTTTTTATCGCATTTCCGAAGAAATAATTTTTGGCAAACGGAGTTACTGCGATGTGAAAGCGCAAAGCCTTTTCTACGTTGTGGACATAGAACGGCTTCAAAGTAGCTCAAGAATGTCCAGCTACCGAATGAAATGTAAACGTCATATTGAATTTTTGATCTTCAAAAGTATTAGTTCAATAATTCATGTTTCACAACGTATGGTGTTCTGTGGCATAACTTCAAAATCAAAACTATAAGTAGTTCTTCTTTGGCAGCGTTGACGCAAGTAATTTTGGCGCACCCTTCAGAGTCTTACGCTAACAGGATTGGAGCCCTTTAGGTAAATCATTGAAAATAGAGGTTGGAATTGTGTAGAAGTGGAATGACCCGTGCTTAAAGCAGAGAAAACACGACACACAGCTTATCATCATCACTTATTCTCTACCATTGGTTGATCTAAAGCATGATCTTGATGTTATACATATACTCTAGAAAACTTTGTTAGTTTTTCAGAGCAGATCTTCTCACTGCACTTTTTCTGCAGCTGGAAGATGAATAGGGCGCTTGATTGTTTGCAATTCCTCAACTACCAAAGTGCAATTCACCTGTATCAAAAATTTAATATTCAGTGCATTGTAATATTCACGAGCCATCAAAATATATGGGTGACATAACAACTCAAAAAACGAGGGCAACAACAAATAAGCATAGCAACAAAATATGTCAATCGAGGGATCAGTGATCAGAACTGACATGGGATAACGGCCCCACTGACTTAGGTTTGAAAGTGAGCAATGCAGGGAGTGCTCTTCGGAATGTGCGAATGTTGAAGATGATAAAATGGGCGTTTAGAATTGGTACGAAAGCTCCACCCAGGAATAGTGGAATCGAGTAGCTGTGCATGGGCAGATCGAACACTGCGAAGATAGTAAACACCGCCAGAGGCACGACGATGAGAATCGCGAAGGAGCACGCCTGAGAAAAAAGTTTCGCTCATAAAATACAGTTTAAATGATAAAAAAAATTTGTTAAACTCACATTTACACGAGAGGCATTGGCTATCTGTCCGAAGCGAGCTCCAGATTGGCTTGGGCCTTTGTTCACGTAGCTAAACAAGCTACTAGACCATAGCGTGGCTAGCCCCACACTGACGGACCCAATGGAGCACAGAAGCAGCTTGATTATCAGGACGATCTTACCAGCCACATTCTGCAAAGTAAGTTTCATTTGTGGAAAGCCATTATATGATTATCACAGTTGAACAATCTCCTTTGATTGCTTGAGTTCATGAAACGATTACGACGAGGATACCTCATTTTCATGCAGCTGAGTATCTATTCAGATTGTTGTCAAAATCGCGTCTTACAATTAGTTTCACTTGCTACGCTTGCGCAGATGCTTGCGATTAGAAAATAATGCCTTGTGATTTGCTTTTATTCAGAATGGATTTGACATTTGAGCCCCGACGCTGCACAACAAAAATTGGTACTACTTATTGTATGTATTCATATGATAGGTAAATAACATTAATGCATCTACATAATTGTAGAGATAAGGAGTTAATCAATCCCCTATCATAATGTGTCACAAAAAGTAATTCATAATGAAAAGGAAACAATATTGCTACTCACACTATCGCTGTAGGGTACTCTAAAAAATAGAGGCAACTTGATAGAGAAAGACAGGCTTTTCTCACAACTAAACTTCATGAGACGTAATCCGCGTAAAGTTTAGAGCTGAAATCTGTAGGTGTTCCTCAAAAATCGGATCTCCGCCGAATAAGATTCTAATGCTTCTAGGTCAACGTTTGTTGAACGCGTAGTACAGGCATTCATATGCATTTAGTTTTTTATGGCAAAAATAGAAGAAAATCACTATTCAAAAATCAGCAAGCCATTCCTGCCTTCTCCCGCATATATGACTTTGAACTACAAAGCTTTGGAAGGAGAATGCAATATGATGTATGTGCATTAGTATTCACTAATATAACAATCAGCCAAATACCCGAAATCTTTCGTATTTTTGACCTATTTTTGCTTCCTGATTTATAACCGCGGAGATTACTGCTAGTGCATACATGATTTTACGAAACTTGTGTATGCGTGAACTGCAAGATATTGAAACAAAAAAATTAACTTAACGGTTTAAGAAGAGGAGATCAAGTTTGAGACTATGGATGCTTCAACTTTACGTGAATCACGATTAATGCGAGTTTCTAAAGTACTCATGCAGTTGTTTTACTCTATAATATTGCCTTTTGTGATTACTACATCTTGCTTCGCATAAGCAGTGATATTTTTTTTCTTTTTTACCTATTACACTCTAACCTTCCCTCAACAATATGTACTCTTAATTAGACATAAATGGAAAGACAAAGAACACATATTGATCTGCTGTCCCACAATATGCCGAAACACCAAGCCGTCTTTTTTTTGTGTTTTTTGATTATATTATGTTTCATCAAAGTTCAATTCTGGAATTCAATCTTGTTTCTCCATGCAAAGCGAAAATCGCTATTTTCAGTCATTATCAGATATCTCTTGCGCAAGTTCACAAGCCCTTTCAATTTCGAACCTTTGATGAAGCTCTATTCAGTTGGAAAAATTCAGGCAAGTGCAAAGTACGGTCAGAACAAGATTTGTTCTGAGTTTTCTTTTATAGATTTTTAATTCTTTCATTTTGTAGCAGAAAGGTTTTGCAAGATCCTTCTCATCAACATTTGCTATCACCTTTCTAAATGATACTCAAAGCTATTTGTACAAGCTTGATGTACAAAGGGACAACTGACCAACTGGTATGGAAGAAAGTAGGGCGACCAGTCGAACTGAGTGTAACCGCGCACAAGCCTCTCATAGTAGTCGTACTTGGCAGAAGTCCGAGCGGCGGTGTCGAATGAGAGCACGACCAGAGGGGCTACGACACAAAGGCAGATCAGGGCCGCAAATGCCATGACTAGGCAAGTCTGCCACGTAGCAACTTCCTTCTGTCTGAAAATTGTAGTGCGACAGATTAGAGTGAAAGCATCTATAGTAAACAAAAAGTTTGGTGGACAAAAATCAGTTTATAACATTTCGCTTGTGATCCCTCTTCATTGGTGTTTGGTTAAGCAAAAAACCCAAAGTTATTAGAAAATTCTGCGCTGTTTGTGCCTTTAGCATTTACTAAGCGAACTAAAGAGACTATTTGCTTCAACAAAAATTTCTGACATACACATAAACCTGGAATTTTTGTGAAACTTTACTGACCAACACAGATAGCATAACAATGAGCGCCATATAGGAAAAAGAGTAATTTTCCTAATTTGATTTTCCTTGGCATTTATATGTACCTACAAAGCACATGTGACGGATTGGAGTAGGGTGCGATTCCCCCCCCCCCTCTTCGAGTACGGGAACGCGAAATTTTTGAAAGTTGACTTTAGTAATAATATTGTGTTTTTAACAAATTAGTTTCGTAAAAGAAATTTTGTAGGCTTTTCCAATGCCGAGATTATGAGTCTGCAATTAAGAAGTATTCCAAAAATGTTCGCTGCTCCCCTTAACCGCCACTAGCACATGAGTGTACAAAATCACAACATCATGAAAGCTTTTAAGCCAAGGAGGATTAGCAGGATTCACTTGTATATGCTATGGCATTTCCACACAAACTCGATAAAAAGTCATTCTCTAGTGTATCGGGTATCTATCATAACCTTTTCTCAGAACAAGAGTAGAGATGCTCCTCTCAGAAAAAGTAGAAGTCCGTGTTCGCGGGTCTTATATAAAAAGTGAAGCATGTCATAGCCTTCAAAAAATAACTTGGCTACATCAGAGGTACGTATATAAGATACTCCATACGTTTCGTATATAATGAGTTTTTGTAAGTCATTCAGTTGCTAAAGCGGGTTAGGTTGGAGGTTCATATTATACACAAGCACTGTTTTTTTTTGTGGCGACATAATCTGACTGATAAGGTCCATATTCATCGTTACCAACATTGGAGCAGAGATGTTGGCTGGAAAGGAGAAGGGGGAAATCATATTATTAGAGCCCTTTTATAGAAAAAAATCCCAATACCATGTTATTAGTAGACGATATGTCTCAAAGAGAAAAACTTTGAGGGCATTGTTTTATGCAATTTCCGATTGATTTCCGGATAGTAGCGATTGCTTGTATTTATTGGCTAGTGTGTACTAGGTATAGGCAAAGGAGACAACAAAAATTATGAGCTGTGAAAATTAGACCTTTGCAAAATATTACAGAAAGAAGGCATTCCAGTTAAGAAGCAAATTCAACTCCTCAACTCCTTCTGGTACAATGTACCTAATTACTGACCGCAAAATAAGAAAGGCATCTCGAAAGTTAAATGCTGAATGTTGAAAAGCGATTATTTTGGTACCCTCGTCATTCCTGGAGGAGAGAAGTCGATTGGCCCAGATGCGGATCGAACCTTAGTTCGACCTGGTCATAGCAGCGCACATAAACTACAACACCACTTGTTCCTCGTTTCTTTATGAAGCAAGAAGACTAAGGTCCTCACTCACTTGTTTCCTAGGACTTTGAACACATATAACGAGGCTGTTTGAAGAGTGCATAGCACCAAGGTTGCTATAAATATAACAAAACAAATTGTCGCAGCTATAGGATGAATAAAGGTAGCTGGTCCCAATAAAATAACCACAACCACGCTGTTTTGTACAACAACACACTGAAACGCAAGCATTTCTTTGGTGAGATCTTCAACTCAATTTCTATTTCTTTTTCCTTTCTTTTTCTCCCTTCCTGCTCCTCCACTTCAACTCACCGGTTGAGATAGCAGGAACGTAACGGAGAGTAGAATATCTGCAATGGCAATGGACGACAGCGGTACGCTGTATTGAATAAGATGACGACTGTTTGTGTTTCTAATGATAAGCAGTAGAAGGGCATTCGAGACCAAAGAAATTGGTCCGCATATGTAGCCACATACTTCGACGAATACGAACGCGCTCATTGTTCGCTTGTAGCCTGGAAACTGTGATTATCCAAGCCTAGCGCAATAAAAAACCGAACAATTAAAAGCGAAGAGCGAATATTTCTAGTCAGCTAAGAAATAATTCGGAACAAATCCATCATTGAAAATTAGTTTCTCTGTGAAAGCGGCTAGATTACAAAGTATCATGTTTGCAATTTATCAATGGCATGAGGAAATCTAACCATAAGCTCTGAGAATACAAATCGTTTTCTGCCAAAAATTTCCTGAACTTCCCTTGCTCTCATTTTCACTGGAGGAAGGAAATGGTGTTAAGCACTTCCAACTATCTGCGAAAACGAGGATACTGGGATACAGCAAAAAAAAGAACGAAATTAAGGCTTCCTACTGTTACGTCCCAATTCTGATTCCCTTCCCATTTTCTATTTTTAACTACCACATCTCCTGAATCCCTTTCCAAATTCTCGCATCAACTGTATGCGCCGAATATCATATGTCAAACCTCAAAAAACCTCTTCCAATCCTCTTCGATAGAGAATGAGAGTGAAATAGGCCAATAGGCCAGTACCCGCTGACCCCGCTGACTAAATTCATTTTTCACAAAAGGTTATCAAAAATCGACAAATCTATAGTTAGTTCCACATAGAACTGTGTGATCCACTCTCATATAAATAAGGAGCCGAAGTACATCAACATAAGCAATCGCGATCCGTAGATAAGGGCATAGAGATAGGAGATAAAGCCTTTAATTGGGTATTCGTAAAAAAACCATTGACATGAAGTGAAAGATGTGGGAATAACGATGTGCTAATGAACCCATTCAGTAATGAATGATTGCGTTTGGCCAAGCTTCTCCTACACCGTAATTGAACAACCTAAGCTACTGATTAGAGCAGGTAACGAGGAACCCAAGAACTTGTGTTTGTCACTCCTGCTTGCGGACTGCTAGATAAACCAACACAACAAACTTTGAGATTCACTTGTGCTAATGCTTCAGTATTATTTCCATACGGAGAATAATCTTCGCTGACGCAATCCTTATTCATATGAGATTCGAATGATGTACATACAGGTAGGGCGAGGAGGGGAAAACTAGGAATACGTATGAAGGCAACAACACCGAAAGCAGTTCCATATTCTATGCTTGCAAAGTGTTCACACTTTGGTTGAGCCTAGCATTTAGAGCAGTTTGTGCTAGAGCTTTCTGAATTTCCGCAACTCGGTTCTACAACATAGTATTCAAGCAGGAACATGTGTCATAAACAGAGCTCCAGGACACAGCTTATTCTATGAAATTTATATGAAATCCCTCTTTAAAAGCCTATATCCCGTCTATGGTTGTTTGTTGGGTCAGGTAGTAATCTGGCAAATATAGCAGTGAAGGTAAATAAAAGTTTTCCCTAAGACTCTATTCAGAGTATAGCAACATTTCTTGTATGTGGAACAAAGGCCAATCTCATGTACTAGTGAAACAGTCTGTTACCAGCGAGGGGCCTCTATTTCTTGTTGGACGACAGTGACTATAAGCGATGGATTTCTTCTTTCTGAGGTGATACTGTACAACAACTTTTATTAATGAACGTATCAAAGTCAATATATCAACCACATGAATTTCATCTTGCATTTCATCTCCACTATGTTTTCAACGAATGATTTTATTATGGAGTACGAGCAGAAAACTATTGAGTGATAGGAATCCTCTTCTGCTCCACTATAGGCCCCTAACTTGACGTAAGCATGCCCTGGAGCATCTCTGATATTTGTTGAAGCTCCAATTCAATGTGCCATATAATGGCAAAGTTCTAGGCAAAGCGTATCCATAATGTCAAAACGGGTGCACTAGTATTTGAAAATGGAAATGAATGTCGCTATAATATCGCAAACAGATAGTATGCGCTAGGTTTTTTTCTTTCTGAGTTGGCTTACAATTAGTTCACCAGTTTACAATCACTTCAAAAGATCGTGACCAATGTGCAAATTTCAATAGTAGTAAGAATAAGACAGCAATGATAAGAATTTTAGCTAGTCATCAGTGCTAGCATATTGTTGCCCACAAGCTGATTTTCCCTTGAGCTCGCGCTTTACCATGACTCCAAGGCTCCGATATAAATTTTTTTCAATATTTCCTTGTGGTTCTTGTTTTGTTCAGAAAGGATGGACGATGATGAGTATTTAAATGGAGTGATAGAGTAGAGCACATCATTACCAACAAAATCCTCATCACATTTTCTATATTTCAGTGATTCAACAGCCAGATGATTCCCACAACGTCGATGACAAGCTGCTAATGTTTTATGTATGATATAAACATAGATAAGCGATTAAGCTACAATCGCTTAAGGATGACTAATTGGTTTGAGAGCAAAAGTGATAGGGCTGAAAAGACCATCAACAATATTCTACTTGTTCTGGTCCACAAACTGTACATAGATTTATTTGTGTCTAACCTCAAAGATAGAGGAAACAAGTGTGTAAAACCGATGCAACTTGAAGCGACTACTAAATGTCGAGTGTAGGCAGATGATCAGTAGACAATAGTTGAATGGTCACCGTGGCAACGCAATTAGGGGTGCATGCGGAGATGAAAGAGATGCTCTTCAATCTTGATTTCCGAGGGAGGGAGTCTCACAAACGCCTTCTTCCTTCCGCTAAGCTTAGGGAAAAAGTGATGAACAGCTTCCCACTTCTCTTGGCTACATGTTCTTCGCAAATAATTGCAGCAAAAGCTCAGTGTTAAAACGAAGTGTTTCATGAAAAGTCAGAGTAGGATTTTTCGTAGGCTCAGAGTATGGCACTTATTCAAGGATGCGACTACTCTCCCAAAGCAATTATAAAAAGTTGATGCACTACATACGCAAAGCGTAGTATGAAGAGTTCAGTTATACAAAGTGTCTCAAAAGAATGTATGGAGTGTGTAATCCTTACACAGGGTGTCCCAAAACTGTGCACACTTTTGATTGAAGTCTGCATGCGTGCTTGCCCGAGATTTGAATATATTTT